AATCTCACACCTTCGCAGTGGTCACTACCACTCAAAGCTAGCCCTGACTTACTCTCATACACAGTATGATCATCGCAGTTCATCCACATGGAAACAAAAGGGTAAACTAAAGTTTAATAAACAACTATACAAATATAGAACAATAATCTATACTACATATTTATCCGATCATGTCCCAAGGGACTTCCATCTCACTCAATCATCAACTCACCAAACATGAAGTCAAACACCATACACATCATCATAATAGAAATCATGCAATAATAGCAATTCATGATAGATATCAATGCATATCAATCATCTAATGCGTCGTCACGCATTCACCTAGGAGATCTCTCTAATAACAGAGCAGTATAAGTGACATCCCATCCTACCGAAACCACCCCAACTGTTTTCACGCCCAATGCGCCTGCTCGGTCACAGCTAACCAGGATATAAATCCCCACTCGAGTCAACTCGGATGATGTCACTTAAACACTTGGAAGTCCGATTCCACCGTCAAGTATAATACAGTTGGGTACCAAGTCACTTGTGGAGTTCTCCCACCGACTATCTGCAAGGAACCACGCACCTCCCCTAGTACTTGGTTAAGGAAATAACCCTCAACCTCATACCCTGCTCCAACACTAGCTAAGGACTTAGAGGAGACGCACCCAAACCAGTGGCCTATCCAAGCACCACCCTCAAGAGACTCTATGTGAGCTCTTCCAATTCGAAAAAATTTTCCCTTTCCTCAAGTCCTAGGCTAGACACATGCCATAAGGCATCACATGCAATAATGTATCATACATCATACATGGTCAATCCACCATCATGATCAATATCATCCTCATATGAAAGTACATACCAAATCATGTTTTATATATCATTACCAAGCATACATATGAATCATACACCACCATACATCATATATCATACATACATGATCCAACTTCAACCTTAAACATGCAAAAGCATCATTTTCAATCATAATACCAAACATACTCACGCTCGGCACAAGTTAGTTTGCACCCAGCCTGAATCCAACCTGAGAGCTCTAAGACTCTCCCACGCCCGACATAGAATTATCACGTCCGTCGTCCTTGTAGCCAGAGACTCACAAGAGTCTCCACGCCCGGCGCACCCACCCTGCGCCATATTAGTAAAATGCCAAACAGAGCCACTGTCTAATATTGCGTTCGGCGTGGCTCTCCTCGCGCTCGGTGTGGCGCATCCAGAGGCTCTCATCTCAATCACGCCCAACGTGATTAGGAAATGGCTACCTCTGATGAATGCACGTCCGGCACCAAGAACATGCTCCCGACGCAAATTCAAACAGTAGCCCCCAAAAACCCAGAAATTTCCTCCAACACTTAAAAATCAGGAAATCCCAACCACATGAAATACATAGACTTCATACAATTCAAAAACAATCTCCGATTCAACAAGCACTCACCCGATACTTCAAAATCATCAAAACCCCATTTTGCCCAAAAACCCCGAAATGAGCAAATCCTTCAATTCAACCATTGATTCTCAAAATTCATGCACCAATTGAGTTCCTAAACTCACATGCAACCAATCAACCTACATTCTAGCTTCTCTCACCTGAAGATTGGCTTAGAACAACAAGAATTGAGGAGAAGAAGAATTTCCCCCGAAGCTCGACCCGCGAACTTCAATCCTCCAAAAACAAGCTTCATAGCTTGAATCCAAGAAGTGACAGAAGAAATTAGTGATCTAGAGGAGAAGAAGAATCAAACGGAGAAATTTGGGAGAGAAAGAAGTTTACGGACTGAGAGCCTTTCTTTCTAAAACTTCTCTCTAAAATTCCTTTGAGAATGAGTTTATGAGATTTTGTTCTTAGCGAAAGGCTTTTATATTTTTCCCTCTAGCATCCACTAAACCCTGAACCAACTTACTATATTACAATAATAATAATAATAATAATAATAATAATAATAATAATAATAATAATAGTTTCTGACTAATTCAATATTTCTATTATTTGTAAAGAAAAGAAAAGAAAAAAACATATCTATAATTTTTAAATCAATATATATTTTATCCAATTTTAGTCACGCGCATATAATGGTATGGTCCTCATTATTTTTAATGCAGCATAAATTAAATAAAAATTATGATTTATTTTTAACTTTTAATAATTAAAGTACGATAATCACATATAAATCATTATTTTTTTAGATTATCAAAATTGTAACCATGATTGCATGTTTGTTACCAATCGGGAATAAATATATTAAATTCTAAACAAGAATAGAGGCGAGGTAATTATAAACACCAAAAGTTCAAATTCAAAAACCAACTTAACAACTGATTTATTGCTTTGTATTTTTTGACATAAACATCTCAAACACCATCAACGAAATAAAAACATTGAAGACTAAAATCAGAGAAAAGGAGGTTTTATTATACCTGTCAAACTTATTTTTTATGAAAAAAAATTAACTCTCTATACACGTACAAATGTAGACATGCATGTAGTATAAAAAAGATCCTAATATTTTATTTTTACCCATTAATTAAAATTCATTAAATGAAAATAAGTAACAAAATGCCACGGTGGGGTTAAAATTGACAAATTAATATAAATGTTTTTTTTATATTAATCAATCAAAAAATAAGAGTTTTCAGTTTGACTTAAAAAAGAAAGATCTGCATATATGATAAATGTATTATGAGACTCAAATCGATTTCAATCGATAAAAAATAATGCATTAGAATTAACACAAATCACTCTTGGATTGCATTATTAAGAAAAGTTAATTTGTTAAATTGCGTATATATCAAATTTTCAAGAACAAAGAAATTGCTGGCTAAGCCAACTGGCAAAAAAGGACTCCAAATTAGTGGTACTTGACAATATTTATTAATTGAAGCATTCAAATTTGGAGGTCTCACAAATGCATGAAGTGGTTAGGGTGTCCTTTTTTTTTTTTTTTTTTTTTTTAATTTATTATTATTGGAAAAGGATTCACAAACGGTCCCAACATTGCTTGCTTGCTTCAAACTCATTTCTCTGAGTCAGAGCAAAGACAAAAAAAGCAAGCAAGATCATAAAGAAACTATCAAAAACTGAGCGTGTGTTTGCTTCGGATTCTCGACGTGAAAATTCACGTTTACATGAAGTAAAAAATTTAAGCTTCCACGTAAATTCAAGCTTAAACGTGGAGAGAGAAAAAAAACTTACGTTTATAACTCAAAACCAAACACGCACTGATTGTTAAGTTCCAGGGAAGGAACATATATTACCTAATATGACCAAGTAGTGGTCACACGAGGAGTATATAATTTCACACTTATTAGGTATATCAGAGACAATTCATACTTGCAGTACTGTAACTATTATTGATTTAAAAGATTTTTGCATACAGACTATTAAGTATGTATGAAATTGTTGAGGATAAAATAAAAAGAATAAAAATCAAATGATATTATCATCATTATTATTATAAATTATAGATTATTAACCATAAATGATAGATACTAATAATAATGCTTCCTATGATTTTTAAAATAATAAATTTAGTAATTTATTTTAAAAACTTAAATTTAATTGGTTGAGTACTGTGTGAATTATTATAAATATTTTATACCGAATTTGACTCTTATAAGTAAGAAAAAAAAACTGAAATTTAGTGACTTACGTATAGTGTAGTGTAGGTTTAATAACCTAATTATAGATATTCCTGTTACCTATTTATAAGATTTTATTTTAAAGTGATGTTTAAAATATAGTTAGGTTAATTAGTTTAAACTAAAAAGCTTATATTAGATATCGCATAAAGGATATATCACAAAAATGAGTTTAATTTTTTCAATAAAGTATAATTCCTGACAATATATTACAGAACTCGATTATTTACCAACTTTAAAAAGTTTATTGGTTATATCATATACATATTTAGACTCATTTCTTACCAACTTTAAAAAGTTTATTGGTTATATCATACACATATTTAGACTCATTTCTTAAATTTAAGAAATAGGATAAATTTAGACTTATGAAATAGACTTATGAACTCCTAATTACAAATCTCACATTTTTTATGTATAAGTATCATTTTAGGATGTTACTTCGATAGTATGATAAATTGGGGTATTTTGATATAGTTCTTTCTGACATTTAGTTGTATATTTTATATTTATATGAATTTTCTCTTCACATTTCAACCACTCTTTTGTATCATAGTAGTTATTTAATAAAAGTGAAAATACAATTTTAAAAACTATGAAACATGTAATGAAAAAATGTCTGTCAATTTGATCCAACAAAAAAGTAAGAGGTTTAAAATTTACTTAATTTGTTCCCTGATTTTAAATGCCCATAATATTTCTAAGAGTTAATCACCTATACATTATACACTGCTAGTGTAAAGTTTTTTACACCGATAACCAATCATATATTTTAAAATTGCTTATTTTATTATTATTTTATTAAATAAGCAACTGACATAGTACTATTAAAAGATATAATTGGTTCTTTTACATTAACAGTGTATAAGGGATTAACTCTATTTCTAATCAATTACTTGATACAAATACAAAATTATGACATGAAAAAAAATTAAATAAAAAATTAATTATTATTAATTTAAAAATTGAAAATTTCAAAATTTACAAAATTTATGTAAGTACTTTGAATTTCTCATCATTTTATTTCGTCTCCTTCCAAATTTATTCATCACATTTTATAACTGTCATTGTTAGAAAAATTTCGAACAAATGAGAAAATTGCACTAGCAAATGAGAAAGGGGAAAAAGATGCTTTAAAAAAAGTCCTTCCTTTCCATGGAAAAACGTTTCTATTTTCACTGTGTTTAGTTCCTTGATTAAGGAATTTCCTTTCCCTTTCAAACACACCGTTGAAGTGTTATGTCCACTCTCACATATATGTTCTGGTCTGTAGCGGTAGCTTTAAGAAAGGGAAACTTAAACAGAAATCACAAGCATGAGACAGTGATATATTATATAGCAACAAAAATGTGCAGGTTCATAACAACCATTAGGTGAGACACATAACTGGAACCCCAAGAGAATTCCCTGGAAGGTTCTTCTACAATATTATACATTCAATGCCATAGCACTTTGCCACTTAACAACTCTTGATCTTAAAAGCTTTTGTCACTGAAACTGTCTTGGAGCCAATTGTAGCAGTTGAATCATATTCACACAATGAGGCTTGTCATCTCAGCTCTTTGTGTTGCTGTGTTATTCTCCTGGGCGGGTGAGATACAAAGCTTAACTATCTGCTGATTTTGTTTCACTATGACACATGCATTATGCATATTCAACTTTTTTTTTTTTTTTTTTAATTTATTTTGTGTCATAGTTGCTTATGATCCTTTGGATCCAAACGGAAACGTAACAATCAAATGGGATGTCATGTCTTGGACACCAGATGGCTATGTGGTAAGCACAAAGTGCATTGCTATTGTTTATATATATCTATTTTTTTAAAGTGGCATAAAATTCCAACAAATAGCAAGAACTAATTTTCGTGGATGCCATGAAAGATCAAATAGAATGTTACAATATTGTTAGTTAGCATTGGAATGTACTGCACAGCCTGAAAAATTGAAAATGTATGGATAAAACCAAATTAAATATTCAAAAGAAAGGGTAATGATGTTTTTAGTAGTTGAAAAATGGATCATGCTGTTTTGGTTCCAAACTTTTAAAACAACAAATTTTCGTTCTTGTATTTTTGAAATACCCAAACTTTAGTCCCGAAATACCCTTTATAACTTAACAGTGTTAGTTTTTTTGGATTAAAGTTTAGTTATATAAAAAATATTAGGACAAAAACTTATGGTTTTAAAAGTTGGAGAGTAAACTAAAAAAATGACCATTTTTTAGGAACTAAAAGCACGAATAACTCTTAAAAAAAACTATCAAAATATGTAACTATTAGATATTAAATAAATCCTACAGTCATGTAATAAAATCACCTGTCTTATATAAGAAGGTTTAGTTCATTTGATTGAATAGAGTGCGTGAATTGTTATAAATTCTCAGTATCGTATTTGATTATCATGATAATAAAATCACTTATCTTATGCCTATTGCATTTTCCATCAGGCTGTGGTAACACTTCACAATTTCCAAATGTTTCGGCACATCATGAATCCTGGATGGACCTTGGGATGGACATGGGCCAAGAAAGAAGTTATTTGGTCCATGGTAGGAGCTCAAGCCACAGAACAAGGAGACTGCTCTAAGTTCAAAGGCAACATACCTCATTGTTGCAAGAAAACTCCCACAATTGTGGACCTTCTCCCTGGTGTTCCCTACAACCAGCAATTTTCAAACTGTTGTAAGGGTGGAGTGGTGGCAGCATGGGGCCAAGATCCTTCACAAGCCATCTCATCCTTCCAAGTGAGTGTAGGCCAAGGTGGCACCTCAAACAAGACAGTTAAACTCCCCAAGAACTTCACTCTCTTGGCTCCAGGACCAGGCTACACTTGTGGCCCTGCAAAGGTTGTTCCTTCCACCACTTTCCTTACACCTGACAAGCGCCGCAAGACTCAAGCACTAAGTAAGTTCTCTGACTTGAAAATTTTTCAATTTGCTCATTTGGCATCAACAATTGTAAGAAGTCTCATTTGCTTTATCTTATGCAGTGACATGGAATGTTACCTGCACATACTCACAGTTTCTGGCAAGAAAGAATCCAAGTTGTTGTGTATCTTTGTCATCCTTCTATAACGAAACCATTACCACTTGTCCCTCTTGTGCCTGTGGCTGCCAGAACAAGAAGAATTGTGTGAAGTAAGTTTGATACTGCAAATTGATGACCTTAACATGTATTATAGAGTAAATTACTCTGACATCTCCTGAAGTTTTGACAAATTTCCTCTGATATCCCTCCCTATTTTACTTTTGAGCTATTATATTAACACCCTATACATTACATTGACACCCCTTCTTATCTAGGAAACAAATTACATACCCCTATAAGTTGTTGGAAACATTAGAAAGCCTGTTCAAAATCTCAAGAAGCTTCAAACAGTGTCAGCGTATTTTGCTTTTATATTTGAAGAGATACTTTTGAATCACTTTTGTCACTGTTTGTGTGGTATGCAGGAGTGACTCCAAAATTCTGAGCATGGTGGGGGTTCACACTCCAAAGAAAGACAACCAACCATTGCTGCAGTGCACGCATCACATGTGTCCAATCAGGGTCCACTGGCATGTGAAGCAGAATTATAAGGACTACTGGCGAGTCAAGATCGCTGTAACAAACTTTAATTACAGGATGAATTACTCCCTCTGGACTCTTGCTATTCAGCATCCAAATCTTAACAATCTCACCCAAGTTTTCAGTTTTGATTACAAGCCTCTTCTTCCCTATGAGTCCATAAGTGAGTGTCAACAAAAAAAATAAATTCTTAGAGCATGATTGAATACAGTATACAGGTTTAGACAGAATTAAGAGAGTTTCTCTAATGAAAATAAATAATTTTTTTTCAATAGAGAAACTCTAAAAAAAACACTTGTAGTTTGAATCCAATCAGGCTCTCAATCCTTTATTATAATTCAATAACTTTATGAATATTCAAGTGTGCTGTTATTATGCATGCAGATGACACTGGCATGTTCTATGGCATGAAGTACTTCAATGATCTTCTAATGGAAGCTGGACCAACTGGGAATGTTCAATCAGAGTTGCTTCTTCAGAAGAACAAGGATACATTCACATTCAAACAGGGGTGGGCATTTCCTCGCAAGGTCTACTTTAATGGTGATGAATGCATGCTTCCCCCACCTGACACCTACCCCTTTCTCCCTAACTCTGCACCTGCAAGCCTACTTACCTTCCCAGCATTTATTTTCCTATTGCTTTTCATGCTAGCAGTTTGGTAAATTGGTGCATAGTGTATCAGAATTTTGTGAAAAATTTGAAACCATGTAGTCCTTCAGTGATAACGTGACAATAGGCATGAATACTCAGATTCTTTGGAAGCATCAAGCCAATAAGACGACTGTGTTTTCTGACATGTGAGCACCAAAGGGATGACAAATGTAAATCTCAACAAGGTTTTGTCTGAATCATAGATTCATGATATTATTATTGCAATGCCATAATGAATATAATTCATACATCTTTGATTCTTTTAATTTGAACAACTTTTACGGTCCCATTGATTAAGGGTGGGAGAGGAAAAAGATTTTAATGAAAAGAAGGAAAGAAAGGAGAAGGGAGAGAACTTAAAATTTTTGTTTGATTGAAGAAAAAAAAATGTAATTTTTTTTAATTCATAATGAAAGAAAAGAGATTTTAAAAATCATTTTATTTTACATCCTTATAATTTTAAATTAATTAACATAAATAAAGATATTTTTTTTATATTATATCAAAAATATTTTAAAATATCTCATTTCCCTTCCAAATCTATTAGAAGAGTACTAAAATTAGATTAAATTTTTTTTTGCACTCCTCTCCTCTCTATTCCCTTCTAACCAAACACTAAGTATATTTCGATGATCCTTGATCACAAAATTAATTTTAAAAAGTGATTTATATTGGATTTTTGATACTTGTGTCCCTGAAAATTGAGTTACTTTCTTGTTTTAATCCGTGATTTTAAAACCATAAATTTTCGACTTCGTATTTTTTAAACCCAAACTTTAACCTCTAAAGCAATTACTTTTAAGGTACAAAAACTTGCGGTAATAAGAACTGAAGTTTAGATAATTTTGAAAAACACCTAGGAAAAAATCTTTAGATTTTAAAAATCAGAAACTAAAACCAAAGATGACCCAATTTTCAGCAACTAAAAACATCAGCAACCCTTTATTCTCAATCCAAGTCGGTAAAACTGAATTTGAACTTTTGATTTAACGCAAATGGTCCAACATGAATTCAATAACGCAGCAAGATACCCTCTTCGAAAAAAGAAAAAGAAAAACTCGTGATTTTAATTAGGTGGTTGCAAAGAAAATTAGTATGATGAATTATTTCATTGACCGTATACCTTAATATATATCTTATACTTACAGTACCACCTATCACTATGGATCTAAAAGCAATAAATACATCATTACAGTATAACAGACAGAAATAAGAATATAGTAGCAAACTCAATCGCCCCCTATGCTGTAACCTACAAACAAATCATAGGACAACTGAACTACTCTTGAATTGATAATGGATGTCACACTCCGGCTTGGTTTAAATCCCAAATTGGTATCCCAAAATTGAGTCAAAACTTGTCACATAGAAGACTTTTGATGACAGATTTAAGTGTGCCATGGATAGGAACTTTAAGCATATGAATAAAATACCAAGGCTACCAAAGAGGTCACCACCAAAGCAAGCAGGGAAACCTCTTGCCTGGAACCAGCATTAGGTAACCAAGGATAAGCATCAGGTTGTGGCATCACACAGATGTCACCATTGAAATAGACTCTCCGAGGGAAGGCCCAACCCTTGTCAAAAGTGAAAGTTGATTTATCCTTTCTGAAAAGTAGCTCTGACTGCACATTACCAAGAGGGCCAGCATGCATGAGAAAATCATTGTAGAACTTAACTCCCCAAAGCATTGCTGTATCATCTGTTAAAACCATCATAGATCAATCATTTTCATGCCTCAACAAAAATATAAGTTCTATGGTGAAATAAGAACATACGCTGCTCATGCAACCAGAAAATTTAGAATGAGACAAGTAAACTAAATGAAAAATATTCTAAGGGATGTATGCATAATTAGTTCAACTAGAGTTTTTGAGAAAAAAAAAATTATAAACATATATATAAATAATTCAAAAGAACTTGAATTTAAAATATAAAAGCAAAGTCACTCTTAAGGCAGAATAGAGTAGAAGATTGAGCTGCTTCTAAAATAATGCATTCTAATATATAGGAGCAGACCAGCTGAGATTTGGAGGAGAAAATGCAAAATATTTTATGTCTCTAAGATTGCAAGTCCTTTGAAAGATCACACTTACTTATTGACCCGTAGGGATTTAGTGAGTTGTAGTTGAAACTGAAAATCTGGGTCAGATTGTCAAAGTTTGGATGTTGAATAACCAAGTTCCAATCAGAATAATTCATCCTGTAATTGAAATTAGTAATAGTGACTTTCACACGCCAGTACTCCTTGTAGTTAAGCTTAACGTGCCAGTGAACTCGGATTGGGCACATATGACGGGTACATCGAACTAAAGGTGTAATACTATTCCCAGGTCCAGGGTTGGAAACAACTGATTCCAGATGTGGTGAATCTGGACTGTAACGACACAGAAAATGGACATGTGAGTATATAATTTTTATTTTAGTTTAGAAGGAAAAATAAAATCAGTGTCTGAGTATTAAAAACCTACTCTACACAGTCCCCTGATTGAGATGAGTTACCCTGGCAGCCACATGCACACGTAGGGCAGGGTACAACAGTATCGTTATAGAAAGATGAGAGTGAGACACAGCAAGTGGGTGCTCTCTGGGCAAGAAATTGTGAATATGTGCATGTCACATTCCATGTCACTACAATAACTCAGCAATGTTAAGGTCAAACAACATCGATCAATCTCACTAAGTGTAAGTAAAAAGACACAGAACAATTGATAACTTAGGCTCCATTTGGATAAGTTTCTCTATAAGTTGAGTTTCCTCAAACTAAAATCAACTTATACACCTCAACTTTTGAAGAGCTTAGATGAGAGAATTTCTATAAGAGTTTAGTGCATAAGTTTATTTTAGCTTATACGAGAAGTTCAATTCATTTTACCTTCTTGAGTATTTATAGTGAAGCTTATCTACCTTAGACCAGTTTTAAAATATTACCAGAGAACCAGATTTTAGTACTAACAAAAACTACAACAAATAGATAATTATACTGACAAGTGTTGAAATGAACATAAAAGTCCATTAACTTACTGAGTGCTTGTGTTACTCTCCTTTTGTCAGGTTGTATGAATTGAGTTGGTTTCACAATATTTGCCGGCCCACATGTATAACCGGGACCTGGTGCTTTCAAGGTGAAATTCTTTGGCAGTTTGACCGTTTTGTTAGTAGTACCAGCACTACCTACACTAACTTGAAATGCTGCAACTGCCTTGGATTGATCCTGTGCCCATGAGCTGAGTACACCACCCTTGCAGCAGTTTGCAATTTGTTGATTGTAAGGTGTTCCAGGAAGTAAATCTACAACTGTTGGGGTCCTTTTACAGCAATGTGGGACGTTTCCCTTATATTTTGAACAATCCCCTTGTTCAGTGGTCTGCCCTCCCACCATGGCCCATATTACCTCCTTCTTTGCCCATGTCCATTCTAGTGACCAACCAGGTGCTGCGATATGACGATATTGTTGGAAGTTGTACATAGTAACAACAGCCTGTCCATTCAATTGTTTCTTAGACATCTAAATAACTACTGGAACAAAGATAAACTCAGTCCATTCTAAATGGCTCTAGCCACTAATATAAATAAACACGTATATATTATATATACTTGAGTTTATTCAATAGTTTTACAACTTGCATAGTAAATACTAAACACACTTGAATGCTCTATTAAAAAATTGGCTTGAAGTGTAATTTGAAATTCAAATCCTTTCATATTCCTAATTGGAACAAGAGGAATGCTAACAAGTCACAACCACTCTTCTATGTTGAATGAAATTCATGTGGGACCCAGACAATTTTTAATGGGTCTCATATGAATTTCATCCAACGGTAAAGAGGTTGTGTTAAAACACATTGCTTCCATTTCTCTTGGAGCAAAATGATTTTTTTTTTACCCTTTTAAAAGCAGGTTATATCATTCAAGTAAGAACTGATATAAAACATATGATATGCAACTGATGTGAACATGCATTGCAGATTCATCACAAATGATGTGCCTAACTGGTAGAGAGAAACAGAGCTAAAAACATTTAGGACATTGTCTAATTGTAAACCAAATTGTTTACTTCTTATATTAATATGTAACATTGTAAAGGACTGTACTTACAACATAACCATCAGGTGTCCAATTTATAACATCCCATTTGATTGTGATATTTCCATTTGGATCAAGTGGATCATAAGCTTCTGAAAGATAAACAACAGCAATACCCAAAATTAAAATTAATTAGAAGGTAAAAGGGAGGAGGGGGGGCAGAGTAATCTATGAACTTCATACTACACGTTAAACAACAAAGACTGGCAATTCATATGAAATGTGTGATAGAAATTATGAGACTAATTTTCTGAACTAGCTAAAACAATAAACAAAGAGTGAAAACAAGCAAAAATTTCTTCAAGACATTAACTAGTTGATGAAAATCATACCACTTTACTTTCACATATACAATGACCATGATCAAGAACTGGAAATTGAGAGAGAAGAAAAGTCGATAGATTTCACATCCTTTCTTTTCACTTGACAGTTGACACAACGTAATCCAATGCTTTATCAATTTTTATGCATCCAGCATTTTATAACAACACAGATAATCAGAACTTCAATTTCATTCCCTGGTACCAAAACTTAGACAACAAGCAAGAACAAATAAACGAAGGAATCAAAACACCATCTTTCCCACTAAAACCTCAGGCATCATCAACAGGAAAAGCCGCCACAAATCAATAAAAGATCAAAATTTTCAAAAGGATTAATAGTGTTTCCAGTTCCTCGAAAACGCGCCACCTTGGTTTTAGCCCCCACTTTTAAAACCACACGTTTTCCTCTTTGTATTTTTAAAATACCTAAACTTTAGTCCTACAGCGACACCACTGTAGGGAACGGAAGCTTATGATCATGGAGACTAAAATTTGGCATTTCAAAAGTACGTGAACGAAACTTGCGCAAACCCAAAGATGACCCATTTTTCAGAAACTAAAAACGTCACTCACCGATTATCAAAATTTGAAAACAAGAAAAAAATTCCATCCCTCACCCCACAAAGCCTGCCATCAATCTCAAACACTCGTTCCAATTGAACACGCCGTCAGGCACACGCCATGCAAAAAGGAACAAACACGCAAAACAAAACAGAAAAAAGACGCAAACAGTTTCGTGGGCAACAAAGAAAACACGACACCCCATAAACCAGAGAAACATAACGAACAAAAATTCCAAAACTTTGACGAGAAAAGGCCATGATGAATGCAGGAACCTGTTGCAGTGAAGCACGTGCAGAAGAGGAGAAGCAAGAGCAGAATGCATGAACGGGGATAGAGGAAGGATCTGATCGTGGGTGTGAAGCTGAAACGGAAAAGCATTTTTCTTGGAACAAAGGGAATGTTGGGGTGTTCAAAATCGTTTGCTATGTATACGAGAGAGAGAGAGAGAGTGAAGAAAAGAGAACGGAAGAGAAGAGAGAGAGAGAGAGAGAGTGGAAAAAGATTACGCGGCGGAAGCTGACTGTTTTGTTGTGTCCAGTTGGCAAGTGTGAGATATCGTGTGCTGCCAATTGCCAAATCCCATTGTAATGTAGTAAGCAAAAGCAAAGGCAACTTCTAGAATTTTCAGCCCACTAAACACTTCTTTTTTCATTTTTTTTCCTTAAATAACAAGTAAGGATTGTGTTTGTGTTTGTGTTAGTGGAGGATTAAATTCGTTATATTTTTTTTAAAAAAAAATAAATAGTTTTATTTTATTTTATTTTTTTTTATTTTATAAAATTACATAATGAAGAACATATCGTAATTCTCTGTTATAAGTCCAACGTAGTAATCTGAATTGATTTTCTGAAATAAGGTTTTCAGTGTCAATTTTACTGATATGAAAACATATTTGAAAAAAAAATTTATACTAAAAATAACCGGTCAAATTCTCAATAACATAGATTGGTTATTTACAAAATTGGTGAATATTTTATCCTAACAATATGGTTCTAAAAAAAATACTCAGTAAATAATTAGGAGTGTTAATAATTTTTATACCAATTGTTAAAGTGATATGATTGTTTTAAAGTACAATTTTTTTAGGAGAAAAGGGCACTTCATGTCTCTATGTTTTAAAAAAATAAAAATTATATATTAGTGTGTAGCTAATAAAAACATGTTTAGAATTTAAAGTTTAATATTTAACATAAATGATAATGATTTATGTCTCTTAATAAAGATTAATTATTATTTTTATGATAAATATTTTATACAAATATTATGATTAAAAAAATATGTAAGTACTTTGTAGGTAATTTAACAATTAGCCTTTTCTATACCAGTTTAAAAAATAGTTAAAAAGGTAAAATTGGAAAATAATATATATATATATAAAGAAAATATTGCCTTTATTACAGTTTAGATTTTAATATTTTTAAAATAAATTATTAATAATTAAAAATAATCTTATACTGTAATATATATTATTTATATTAAATATAAAATATAATTTAATCTTTGAAAATATTTATTTATATAAATTTAAAATATAATTTATTTATTCAAATAGAATATTTATTTGTATATATAATTTATTATAAATTTTAGTTATATATAATAAATATTTAGCATGTTAAAATACTAGTTATACATAATGTATGGAAATTAAAATTTTAAATTATTTTATAATTTATAAGTTTAAACATGTATTTTATAAAACCTAAATTCAGAAATTTTAAGGAAATGAAAAAAACAGACTATTACTTTTTTTAATAATTATCACTACTTTTGTGTTTGAAAAGAAAGGAAAAATTAATGAAATTATTATTTTTATTTAAAAAATAGAAAGAAGGTATTCTTAAAAATATAAATTTTAAGTTGTCTTTTCTTTTATATTTTTAACTTCATTTTTAATGTTTCCTTTCTTTTTTTATTCTCTCAATTAATATAAAATCTGAACAAATCATATGTCTTAATTAGGCGTGAGCAGAAAATTTCGCCCCGACCGAATTCGAAGTTTCCGCAGGTGAGTTTCTTAGTTCGGCCGGTTTTTGGCGGTTTTTCCGGTTTTTCGGGTTGTTAGAGTCAGTTTGTAATGGGTTTTGTTGGTCGGGTTCGAGTTAAAAAATTGAAAACCTTTCTTAAGTAGTTGACTCTTCAGGTGGATTGTTGAGTCTTCTCTAGGACTTTAGTTATATGTGGGTCAAGTTGAGGTATACTGGCTATAAGTGACCAATGTTGATTCGTATGTGAGCAAGGTTGAGGTATACATATATAAAGTGACCAACCAAGTAAGGTACAAGGTCAAAAGATTAGTCACTAAGTACTCAAAGAGTGTAGTATTTGGGGGTATTTAGTGGGCTAATCTCATAAGGGGCTCAATGTTGCAAGTTAATGTCATGGTACAATGATACATAAGTTTTTCTATCTTAATAGGAATACTATATCCAATAATCATTTTTTTAAAGATTGGTATCCCAACTCAACTATTAATTTAGTAGTTGTAAAAATATCATGTTGGTTTGGCTAATTTGGTAGGATCAAGTCACTTAGACTGCTCACCTTTATTATAGATAGGGGTGACAAATGGATGGATCGCATAATTTTTTAGGCAAATCATAATGGATTGGATAAAAATAATCCATTAATTCATTTAGTTCCATTAAAAATTCACATATCCAATCCATTTATATATATATATATATATATATATATATATATATATATATATATTCTATCCATCTATTAACAATTTTTTCATGGATCGATATCCAATCTACCCATAAAAGTAATGTTTTAAAATTAAATAATTTTTATTTTTGAAATATTATATTTCTCTATTTTTTTTATAAGTCGTTACATTCTTATATATAGTCTTTGAAAATTTATAAGACTTTTTTATGTCGAATAATCTCTTAAAATCTTAATCTAATAAAAATGTCATTATAATCTAATGGATTTTGAAAAAATAGTGGATGGATCATTAACCATAAGTTAAATGGATGGATTGAATCTGGTCCATTATTTATTTTTATTATAATGAATGAAATGGATGAATTTACTTGTGGATAAGTTGGATGGACGATAGATAAATGGATTCATTTGTCACTCCAAATTATAGGAGATCTTCGTATCTAAATGTGTGACAACGTATGTAGTTGAAGTGTTGTGCATATGATGTGGTGATTTTGGTGTTGTTCATATGCTACTTTATTTGGTTCTTGGATGACATTGTTGTTGGTGTATGATGAGATTTACCTTTTTAGGATTGTTGAATGCCATGTTGAACATTTGTTGTGGTGTTGAAATGTTGTAAGTCAATAAGTAATATTATATGTGGTTTACATGATATTGTTGGTAGTATACTTGTTTTACTTTTATACTTGATATATGATTAATTTATTGTTCTTTAGTTTACCTTTGTATATTTCCTGGTGGTTAGACTATGATAATCATGTTTACATCAGAGTAGAACAAGGTTAAGTTGGAGGAGTCTGACAAGTTGGGGCTCATGTTGGATGGCGGTGTAGCTTGATGCTAATCTTGTATAATTTTGTGGAGTTGTTTGATCGACAATCTAGGTTACATTTGCAGTTTCTTTTAGCTCACTATATATACTTATATGTGTATAGGATATATTATTTTTCCTTTTGAGAGACCTTTATTTAGAACAGATTTTATCCTTGCACATTGTTCTTACCTGAGATCGGTCGAGAGGGACGATCTACTGGGCAAGATTGGTGACCCTCCTTTGTTGGGTACGTCAACTTATCCGAGGTGGGGGTGGTACCTGCAAAAGAGACTCTGATACTAAAGTTAGTGTTTGATAGTGTATACATCTCATATATATAGTGCACGTACCTTGATGTGAATTAGGATTTTCCTCTTGGGCGAGGATAAGGTTGATCTGGGCCTGAGATTGGCCCAATAGAAAGTGGGCCTTTGCTTTGGCCGATGTCACGTAGCGTCTATCCGATGTCGTGCGATGCTTGGATACCGAGCTCGAGCTCGGTGCCCGACGCGGATAGTACACTAGTCCCCGAGCTTTGAGAACCTCGGGTTGAGGAGTTGATGTCGAGTTTGGTGGAGGGTCGCAACCCTTCGTCTCTACCTCTTGGGTGAAACGCCACGTGTCATAAAGTGTCACCTCGTTTCCCGAAATGCAAGGGAGGCTTGTAATGATGGGATGCACCCTATCATTATGAGCCTTATTAAATGCGTTCTCCCTTTTATCGTTTTTTGCATTTGAAATACCCATTAGTCTCTCATTTGCGCACTTGCTTCCTTTCGCGCATATGCTTTCTCTTTTACGCGTTGGGTTTTTTGGGCTCCGTTTGTCTTCTCCGTCTTCATTTCCTGAGTGTTTTGCTCATTCTAGTAACACCGTCACCGTCGGTCGTCGTTGTCACCCAATGTTTTTTCAGTATTCAAGGATGTCGCAACCCGAAAATTTCCGATCTCGCAACTAATGGTTTAGACATCCTTTTAAAGATCTCATTAATTAAGGAATTCCCGGACATCAGACTAATCCTTAATTAATGGTTTTGAAAAATGAGTTTATGGAGTCGCCACCAATATTTTACTCAAAATATTGGAAAAAGAAAAGGTTTTAAAAATCCAATAATGGCCTTGATAACCAGAATTGGGTTCAGGGGTTGGTTACGTGCAGGGGGAAGGTATTAAGCACCCCTACAACGCCCTCAATCGGTACCCTATGATGAAGTTAACATGATGAGAATTAATAATTTAAATATTTAATCTCCTTTATTAATATATTTATTTACATGCTTGAAATTTAAATTATACAATTAACACAAAAATGTCTACCTGATTGCTTTTATTATAACAATGTAAAATAAAAGAAGAGAAAGATAAAACAAGAGATTGATGAGTAATACCTCGTAACAAGCTTTATTGGATCTTCAACTATGGAGGTTTTTGGTGCTTTGTGGCAACCTTTCACACTACAATAAGCCTCACAAAACTCAAGAAATACAATAGAAGAGAGAGAGAGAAAAAAGAGAGAAATTTCGAGCTCTATGGAGCTTTGCACGAAATTTTGGAGGTCATCAGAAATGTGCCCAAGCTCTCTATTTATAGGCTTCAGACAGGGTCCAGAACGACCCGTTCCAAAATCGTAACGGCCCGTTCTGGATATGGCCGTTATGTGTTATATTTGTACCTTAGAACGGCCCGTTCTGAAATCAGAACAGCCCGTTCTGTGGAACCAGA